ACTCAAATAAAAAATCCATTGGACCACCGCCACCTCCACCTCTACAACCACCTATTATCGCCCACCATCATCCACCCCATCACAATCCCTTCAATTTTCCATGACTCGATTTCACTTGGAGCAGAGGTACTATGCAATTGCCAAATTATGTAGCCGGCAATGGGGGATTCAATCACGACGTACAATCTACTAGAAAATTGAAATGCTCCTCGTCATCCGCCACCACTTCCCCGACCTCTTTGGCAGATTTCCCACGAATTTGTAGAGGAACCCGTGTAAGCAATATTAATCAGTAATCATTCATAAAAATGACAAAGAAATTCTTTATTTCCTAAGCTCATCTGGGACAGTTTTGTCTGGCAATCTTACACACATTCTTCTTCGAGTATCCAAGAATACTGCCCGTCTTCTCGGAATACACAATCGACATAATCAAAAGTGGAGAAGAAATCTATGTCGTAGTTCTTCACGAATTCCTGGAAATTGCTACCCTTCGTGTGTAGAAATGGGATGAGAAAAATCAATTATGGTTCAGATTGCAACAATGCCACCAGATGTTAGTTTGCCTGAATTCTACTGAAAATTATAGCTACGATATGTGCAATTTGGTGACAAATGAATGGAATGAATTTGGTAGCAAGTAGCTGTGGAGGTGGAGATGGCGTTGGTCAGGTGGATTTTTGGTTTGAGTTGGGATTGGGGGTGGGTAAGGGGTGAGAAGAAAGAAGACGGGGTATGTGTGTGTGTGTGTGTGTTTTTTTTATTCTTCATTTCTTATTTTTTTAATTAAATTATTATTTAATGTGGTAAATGAAAAGCTATCTTTTGCCCCTAATAAAATATTAAGAAGGTTCAAAATTTAATTTTTGGTCAATTGATGGAAGTGTAGATGGAAATCGTCTAAAATGGCTTTTCTTGCAACGTTTGAAAATGTTTGGGATGACGGCTGCAATAAATCAAAAGATTTGAGGAAAGTTTACTAGTATTTCAAAGGTTTGGAGTTTCTGCTGCAATTTTCCCTATTTTAAATCTACTACATTCGGCGAATCTCGTTAGTATCTTTGACCAAGGATAATAATAAGCCAAGTCTCACCTAAATTAGATAGGTTGTCTAATATGAATAGTCTTTAAACGTAAAGATGACATGACTGAACATGATCAATATTCGAATAATTCTTAGCTAATGCACGAAAAATTCGTGCATTTGGGGTTTGGACTGTATTATACACCCACCTTCTTAGATTTATGATTTGCCGCCCCCAGGCATATTCGGGCATATTTCAGTGATGTAAAGAATAGAAGTGAGGTAGTTTCAGTCTTGTTGGCAGCTGCAGTATGAGGGTTCGATTCATGAGATATGAAATTTGACTTTTTGTGGGCACAGTGTAC